AAACTTCACGAGAGTTGAAGTCTCGTGAAGTTTTTTATATAACAAAACTTCACGGGACTTCAACTCCCGTGAAGTTTGGGAATTTTTTTTTCAAAAACAGACACAGTTTCAACCAACTGGGTCTGTTTTTGTTAAGTTCGAAACGAGTCTTTTTTTGGGAATTTTTTGGCAAATAGGTTGGGTTTGAAAATTTATCCTATTATTGGATGATGCGAGTGATTTTTAAAGATGTGATGTGATGGAGATGAGATGAGTTGTATGATGTGACTCATTTCTTGTGTTTGGTTTATTTTTAGAAGATGATATGAGATTAGTTGTGGAATGAAAATAATATTCTATTGAATGTTGTGGTGAGTTTTAGGGGTGAAAATAGATGAAAATAATATTTTATTGATTTTCATGTACCCTTTTCCTTTTCTTGATTTTTAGCAAACCAACCAAACAACTGCTTAGCCACGCCCAGGAGAAGTTCCCTCGTCAAACCAAGAAAAAAAAATGAAGGAAAAAAAGAAGGAACATTGGCGTCAGCTTTTGAGAAAGCAATCACATTAAAGACTGTTATGCACTTACAAACACCTGATGCAGAAAGTTGAGAAAAACTTAAGATAAAAGTAATAAAAATCTCTGGGAATAGTCATTCTAACTCCTTCGCAACAACAAAACAAAGCCATAGAAGAGTATCATGTTTAAGATACTGCAGCTAATTCTACCCTTCCGGCTTTCCCCTTCCTTGCCACTTTTGAAGTGCCGTTTGCATATTTGATTCCTGAAAACAACTTGCATAATAATACAGGATCAGAAAAATAAACAGACCTACGTTTGCTGGGATTGCCATCTATGCTGCTCTTGGCTTCTAAATTCGTACCTTTCAAGCATTTGGATCAAATTGGTTGTTAAATCTCTTGGAGACACACCTAATCGAATAGCAGTATACATGGATCGTTGAACTTGTACAAGCTCTTTTTACTGCGTAGATATCCCAAGTATATATGTATCGCTTTACAATTTTCTCCAGGCTGTAATACTACCTTCTTCTCTGACAAAAACTGACAAAAAACGATACGTAATTGAATTTATCAAAATAGAGGAGAAAACAGTGCAAAGTATTTGGAAAAATATATAGAAATATAACAATTTCCCTCTTGTGTAAGTTTTCTTTCTGCACCTGTTTATGTCACAAAGTTAATCTCAAAATTGAATGTGGGATTAATGCTGGATTATGAATTAAGGAGGCCTTAATCTTCTCGGATAACTGATCAAATTAGAGGACATCAGATAATTTGCACAAATAACAAATGTTAGATGCTCCATAGGAGATTTCCTCCGGCGAGTCCTCCGATGCTCAAGTCAGTGTTTGATCAATTCGATAGGAAGAATATCAGATAGGGTTCAAAGTTCAGAGTCCAGACCTGAGAACGATGGATATCTCTTATGCTTTATGTGGGGTGTCATTGGGCAAATCGGTAACTTGGCTCAACTGGCAGGGGCAGTGTCTCACTGACACCCTCTCTTTGCCAACGATTGATTGGCCATTTGACTGAGATTCTCTCCCATGCCACATTAAATGTGATAGTGACAAAACGAAGAGATTGGACGCCATCCGAGGAGTCATTATCACACCTGACCAGCATTTAATGTGATGACGACTGGGTGGCGAAGCATGGGCGATGCCCTAGAAGCTAACGTCACACCTGGCTCCTTATTAAATGTGGGTGCCTTTGATGAGGACGGGGTTCGACCCGAGGAGATCCGAGGTTGCCCCCCGAGCCGGGTTGGGGCTGTCGGAAGGGTCGAGCAATTTACTCAGATTGTGGCGATATCAAGGGGGTTTCTGATCATATGACCTGACCCTCTTGACACGTGGCCGGTCCTTGGGGATTCATTAAATTCACGATTTTTCCAGATGTAACAGCAACCATTATATATTTAGAGGACACGTTTTAGGGAGCACTTGCTTCTTTGCAGTTCCTGTAATACTTTTCTACAGCTACAAGAGTATCATGAGCACACTGTCGATCATCAATATTTGCATGCTTGTCCATATCTCTGAAAATTTGTAAAGTGAAAGAGCTAATATTGTTGTGCAGGTACAACGAAAAAAGAATGTTTAGGAATAAAGGTTTTTTTTTCAAAGATTAAAGGCTATGATATACACTTGCTCCTTGTGCTTCCAACCAGACAGCAAAGCGGTACCACTTAGCATACACATGTAGACTGTGCTTAAGAGAAAACATATAGTCTATTACAACATGATAGTTTGCATAATGTTTTATATTGCAATGAGAAGAAAGCTCCTTCTGCGTTTTCAGTGTGAAACATAATACAGCGTTCAGTATGTACTGTTATTAGAAAAAGTAGGTACTGTGATTAGAAAGTCAGGCTAATTATCTACTATTTTGTCCAATACTGTGATTAGAAAGTCAGGCTAATTGTCCAAGTATCTCTTTGTTCCATTCAAATTCCTTACAGGAAGAGAAGCATCAATATTTCCAGGTGATATTTAAGACCCAAATCAATGTTCATACGACATTAAGAGAGAGAGAATAACCATGAACTTGAGCAAAGAATTTCAATGTGAGCATTGAGGAATTTCATAGATTAATGAACATGACAGGTTCTGAATGGGAAATTTTCTTGAACAAAAAAATATGGATATTGTAATGAGCAAAAGTCAAAAGAAAAGTTCCCTTTTGAGGTTAAAAAAAAGTTCACAGGAAAGTCTCCACTAAACTACTACCTAGCTAGAGACATCGATATAGAAGCAATGTGAACTAAAATTCAATAAAGTGGATACAAGGGGCAAAGTTTCGAATCATAATTGAAGTACAGATCACATCAGAGGCATAGACAATTTTTACTACTATATAAAATAAAATGTTAAGAAAATAAAATATAACTCAAAAATCTATGAAGTTATTAACTTGAATGATGAGGAGATAGAGATTACAATAGAAATTTTAGTTGCATGGGCGCATGTATGGGTATGGGTGTGAGCATGGGTGTGGGTGAGGGTATGGGACACGAAAAATTTGTAGAAGGTAGGGTATGTGGACACAAATATAAATATATTAAAATTAATAACTTACATAAGATCAATATTATTTTTTTCATTCACATGTCACGAGAATTAGAATTTCCTATAATGTTTTCTTTTATTCTGTAGATTATAAATTGGAAATGGCTCAACTTTGAACTAGATACCAAGTGACATTTACTACCATAGTCATGTGAACTAGGTATGGACTGAAAAAACCTGAGACTGAACCCAACCTTACCCATGTCCAACGAGTTTCAAGAAGTGGATGTGAAGTGTAGGATAAACAAATAAGTATAGAACGAATGTTTTAAATTAAACAAGTATAATATGATTGAATACACATCTGGATAAATATATGCATATACTCAAGGAGTGTCCAAGGGGTATCGGTGTCTGATACATGACAGATATACATATAGAAGTGTCCAAGGAGTGCCCGGTACGTGTTGGATATGTGTACAGCTTCATGGTGATGAAGTACCCAGGTAACACAGTAGAAAGTAAATGATGCACAACAAAATGAGCAAAGCAAAACTTCCAAAGCAAAGGAAGCCGCTCTATAGACGTACATTACATGTGTACAGCTTCATGGTGATGAAGTACCCAGGTAACGTAGTAGAAAGTAAATGATGCATAACAAAATGAGCAAGACAAAACTTCTAAAGCAAAGGAAGCCGCTCTATAGAAGAGAGGTCAACTAGGTAAAACAACCCAGACAAGTACCACTCAATAGAGAAGAGTGCGCTTAAGGATGTAGCAGTCCAAATCAGTTGTCACATGGTTCATACAAATTGAAGCGAACAGAGAGAAATAGGGATGGCAACAAGACATAACTTTCTTTCAAGATACAATATGAATGCATCTCCTGTGAGTTAGTATATAACTCAGTCTCTTAAGTGTGTCCTCTTATTGAATTGAACCAATAAGGGTATCAATAAAATACCTATAGTAACATACG